CAGGTGCAATCACTACTGAAGGGGCCGGGGAGATAGCTTAGTAGAATAAGCGCTTGCCTGGCAAGCGCAAAGACCTGAATTCAATCCCTGGTTCCAAAAAAAAAAAAAAAAAAAAATCACTACTGAAGTCTAGATCTTCTCTGACACTTGAAGCCTTGAGAAAGGGACTTGCCTTTCAGACACTATGCCTGAGTAGAGGCCGTGCTGCAGGTACTGGAGGTGTGCCATAACCACTCATTCTAATCAGCAGCCATGGGGAGCACAGCCTGTGGGGTTTTCCCAGCTCGTTGCACAAGTACCATAAACCTTTGTGAATCCTAGCACCAAAAGACTGTTGTTAAGCGTCTGCTATTTTATAGCAAACCACTTCGCATATCACTCGTAATGAAACAGAGCACATTCTATATCCTGTGGCAGCACAATGATACTGTTGTATAACCACAGTCACTGGGATTCTTCAACTCAGTGATGGAAACACTGTCTTCTCTTAGGACAGTAGCCAAAGTAAATTACATTTGCCATCAGGTGACAGCTGAATCTAGAAGATGCCTTGTGTGCTCAAGAGCTATGTTATGAAACAGAGGTTGCAACAGTTCCAACAGCAAAGCAGGTAAAAAGGCTGGAGAGGCTCAAACGCCTCACTGTGTGAGATCTGTATGATAAAATGAACAACGCTTCTGGAGCCCCACTGCCTGAAACCCAATCTCAGTTAGATTCAGTTGGCTATTAGCAAACGATGTGGCCTTGGGGAAGTTACTATATGCCTCAATTTCTGCATCTCAAAAACTGACATAAGAACTGTGTCTTTTTCAGTGGATTGCTTAAACAAATATGAAGTCAAATAGTGTACATAACTGTTGTGTTACGAGTCGGTGCTGAAAGAAACGCCGAGACCAGATGAATATGGCTACAGAGGTCTCTTTGAGATTGGTCTCTCTCTTGGAGCCCGGAGCCAGGGAAACTTCTCAGTTATTGAGGGCCACAAACAGCTAAGGAATGTGCATAAGTAATTTGGTGCAAACAAACTGCCATCTGATTGCCTTCCGGCACTCACCAACTGTCTTACGTATCACTGGTTGGTAACTTTCCAGGTAAGGGAGCAAAGAACAGACAGGGCGCTGCCTCCAGGAATCTGCTACTACCTTGTCTCCAGCTTGCGGGAGTAACAAGGAACCAGTGTCCTGAGGCTCTGTCCTTTGTTGTTTGCTCCCTTAGTACAGTAAAGTTTTGAATGATATCACTACACATAACTATAAAAAGATATGAAGATGGTAATTGCAGCTCACCCATCTCTGCTTTCTTACATATGGATCATGGGCTCACGTTCAGGATCATGACAGACAGAAAGTCAAGGCAGGCTCTGAGTCTGATTCTGCCTCCACCAGCCTGATCTTATGCAAATCATTTTTTCATCTTGATTCTTCATTTTTCTCATCTATAAAATGAACTTCATACCCAAAACACGAGAGGGGTTCAATCAATATTAGATAACTGGAAGAAGAGAGAAAGAGGTGAGCAAATAAGGAGGTAGATAGGAAAATGATGCATAGGTAGTAAAATAAATGGATAGATGGGAGAATAAATAAATGAGAGAGAAGGAAGATACCTAGAGTGGTGACTGGGGAGGCGAATGAATGAAAGCATGAATAGATTACTGAGTCAACAGATGGGTTGATGGTGAAATAGGTGAAAGGATGGATGGATAGATGGTTGGACATCGATAGAAGGGAACTTGGGATAGATGATGGATGGATGGATGGATGGATGGATGGATGGATGGATGGATGGATGGATGGCAGAATGAATAGATAGAAGGATAATGAGGGGCTGGGAAGATGGCTCAGTAGAATAAGCACTTCCCTGGCAAGTACAAGGGCCTAAGTTCAGTCCCCGGTTCTGCCAAAAAAAAAAAAAAAAAAAGGATAATGAAATGATGATAAAGATGACCTGACAAGTGGATGGGAAAATAGATAGATGGATGAATAAAAGGATGAATGGATGGATGGACTGGGAGATAGATGAAAAATTGTATGGATGATGGACTAGTATGTAGATGAAAGAATGGATGGATGGATGGATTATGTTGATATGATCGCCAGTATTTTGTGGTGTTGTGTCCTATTTTCAGACCCATTTGTGAAGATCCAGCTGGTTCATGGTCTCAAGCTTGTAAAAACCAAGAAGACATCCTTCTTAAGAGGCACAATTGACCCTTTCTACAATGAATCCTTCAGCTTCAAAGTTCCCCAAGAAGAACTGGAAAATGCCAGCCTAGTGTTTACAGGTGTGTAGCATCCTAGACCCTGATAAGCCCCAAGTAAGACATTTCAGTTGACTGTCCTAGAGACAGAAACCATCTAGAGAGTTGTGTTTAAAAACTTGATATCTGATATTCAGCTACCAGGTTCAGATTCACTTCCACCTATGAATATCATGGGCAGAATGATCTAGTACCAGTTCTGTCTCTCTGAGTCTTAAGTTTCCTCATTCATAAAATATATACAATAAATATTTGCATGAAGAGTTAAATGATTTACAAATACATAACTCCCTAATACACTAAGTCCTCATTGGATAGTAGCTTGGATGATGAGGTGGTGGTGATGGTGATGATTATGATTCAAGTTGTTTAAGTAGATGTATAAGTACTATTGTAGGATTTTGTCTGCTTGTCCAGAGTGTAATTTACTCCACTGTTTCCAGGGTGCATTAGTTACCTATTTTTGATAACTAGCTAAGTTTTCTCAGTGGCAACAGGAGAATAACAAATGGATTGTGAGTTCAAGAAGATCACCACACATATGGGTGCTGAGCACTGAGTGTGGCTCAGAGTAAGCAATCTCATACGTGTTCCTGAGGAGAGCTTTTGGTCCCTTCCTTATCCTTCCAGTTTCTTCCTAAAGGCACCCTTTTAGCGTGCTGGTGATACAGTGAGAAAAACTGATCTCAGATGGGTGACCTCCAAATGATACAGGGAACCTCCAAATGTCATAGGGAAAAATGATCTCCCGACCTGACCTGGATGAGTTCATGTTCTCTAAAACCGAAGAATGAATTTTAGGAACAAATGGAGGTTATGAGCAGAATAGATTTATTGAGGGAAAGAAAGCTCCTGTCTGAGAGAGGGACAGGAGGGTGGCCCGAGTGGGTTGTCCCCCAGGAAGCTGTCTCTTCAGGGACTTTTAAAGAGGAAAACCATGCGGTGAGGCGGGTCTAAGGTGGTGGAGAAGACATGGGAACTCACTTAGGTGGGCATGAGGTGGGATAAAACTATGGCAAACCAATGAGATTACAAGCACTGTTGCTCAGGTAAAATTGATTAAGTCCAGGACCAAATGGGGAGTCACGTAGCACGGGGCTTGAATACGAGACAGGGTCTCTTCCTGTTGGGGTTGGGCTAGTGACTCATTTGGGCTCTTTCAAGGTAACTGATACCTATTTAGAACATTAATCCCTGATGCCCATCCCTAGGGAAGTATGTAGCTGTGTTTCCTCTTTTGTCTTGGTCTTGAGGTGTGGCCCATGGGTCTGCCTCTTCCCAGTTGTAAAGTCACCTTGTCTTCCATCTTGTCTCCTTGAGGGCCTGGCCCTGTCTGACTGCCTATAGTATTTCTGTCTAACTCGGCTGCCTATAACACTGGCATGCATCATTCTACACCATCCTGGGTGCACACACAAACACATCATGGGTGTGGAGCTAGGTCTTTCAAAAAGTTATTCATGAAATGAGCGAGTGTACATTCAACACCTAATCTGGGCCAGGTGTGGTTTACAAGTGTCATGAACAGCACAGAGAACCAGACAGTCATTATCCCTGATCTAAGGGGGTGACTCAAGCATTCCAAGGATGTCCTGCTGACTCTTGCCGTTGTTTAATTAACAGTGAATGTATCCCATCCCTCCAGGCCAGTAAGACAAGTGGATTTCACTCTTTACTTTTAGTAACTCTTCAGTGCGGTTGCCAGGTGTACTGTGGTGAAAACAGAGATGATTCCTTGTGGGAGTAAGTTACTGTCTATATTTAGTGATTTAAAATTTGCCATGACAGAAAGAGTCATAAATCTGGAAAGCAAAAAGGAAAATATTACTGATTGTTCAAAGTGTTGTTTCCCTTTACCCAAATATCCTAAAGGAGACTGTCAACTCTCAAATGTGTGTCCTGGAATAATGCATTAGAGCAGTATTTGATAACACAAGTCAAAAGTTTCAAAAATCATAATCATTCTTTCCCCTTACTACAAATGCTAGGAATGTAGCCAAATGGAAACAAACAAGGGTATGAACAAAGGTTTAGATACAAAGATAAATAAAGTCATGTTGTTTTGTAATGTGGGAAACTAAAATCTATTCATTCATATGCTCAGCAACAGGAGGTTGGTTGTGCAAAGCTTAGTATATCTATTCAATATATTAATCACTGATAGGTGATTAAGTGGAGAAAGATGTTTGTAACACATAATTTAATAAAAATATAATATGATCACATTAAAATATTAAATGAAAAATTCCAGAAATAAACAACACATTCTTGTAAGTTTTACAAATATATTGGTTTTTTTTCAAATATATTGTTATAATAGCTCTTCTATTTTATTATTGGTTATTGTTGTTAACCTCTCACTATGCCTAGTAGATAAATGAAAGCCTTATCCTATGTATGTACCTAGGAAAAAGCATACATAGAGTTGCTGTTCTTCCCGAGTTGAGGCATCCACCAGGGTCTTTGGATGTATCCCTGAAGATAAGGGGAACAATTGTCTTATACCTTTATACATACTTTTAAAATGGCTCAGATATTTCTAATGCTCAGTTGGGGTTCAGAATCACATCTTTTGTGGGAATTCGAGCTGACTGGCATTTAACTTAAAGGCTGCTGGCTGGAATAACAGAAGAAATGGGGCTGAGCTGGTGCAAATCTAGGCAAAGCTGCAGTTCTCCTGAATGCAATTCCATAAGATTCTACTTGCTTTCCTTGTCAGCTGAGGAAAAGAGCTGTCACCTCCAGGCAGAAGATCTCAAAGTAATCCATTCTTGTATTTCTTTCTTTCTTTTTTTTTTTTTACTTTCATTTATTCAATTTTGATTTTTTATTAGTACATGTTAGTAGTGGGTAATGATCGCTTTTCTCCTGGGGAGTTGTTACATGAACGAAACACATCTGCTCTTCTCCCCTTTTCTCTATCTCTTGGTCCCCTTCCCAAATTGCAAAAGATCTCTGTCCCCTTTTCCTGTTATCTGTCTTTTAATTTGCTCTTTTTTTATATTTTGGGTTTGTCATATAGGAGAAACCACGTGGTATTTAGATTTGAGCGTTTGATTTATTTCAGGTATGGTCCCCAAGTGCATCCATTTCCCATAAATGACGCACGTCTACCTCTCTTTCTGGCAGAGTGGTGCTCCACTGTGAGTAAATCTTACATTTTCTTTATCTATCCATCTGTTGATGGATATACAGGCCGCGTCCAAGACTTGCTATTATGAATTGTGCTGCTACAAACCTGGGTATGTATGCATCACTGTACTATGTCTTTACATTCTTGTATTTCCAAAGTCTACTTAACAGAGTTCAGGCTGATCTGCATTTAAAGCATTTGCAAGAATCCCTGAGAAAAACTTATAATTAGCTGCTGGGCCAGGCTTTCTGCACAGTTCCCTTTCTCAGTCACAGGAGGACTCTTCTGCAGTTTTCAGTCAGGTCAGTTCTGTAACTAAAGTTTGAAAAAGAAAAGAGAGGAGGATTGCTTTTCAGTTCCTGAGGTAGGCACATGCATCCCTTAGGCCTTCTGGGAAACTCAGAAAGTAAAGTGGGGTTGGCTGCTGAAGTGCTTGGCCATTATTGGAAGTTTAAAAAAGAAAAAGAAAAAAAAAAAAAAGAAGGAAGGAAGGAAGAAAAAGAAGGGGAGATGAAGAGAAGAAAAAGGAGGAAGGAAGCAGGGAAGAAGGAAGGGAGAGAGGGCAGGCAACTCAATGGCAATTGTTCAAAAAATTAGAAATTGAATTGCTATAGAATGAAACTCCATTTCTACATATATAGCAAAAAAGAATTAAAAGCAGAAGCTTGTTTTTATTCACTAGTATTCATAGTCGCATTATTCACAATAGCTAAAGTGCAGAAACAAATCAAGTGATGGTTGAATACAAACAAATGAATCTGGTGTGTCTACTACATAGAAAGAAATGATCATCAGCCTGAATAAGAAAATCAATTCTGGGGCCTTCTACAACTTGGATGAACCCTGAAGATGTGCTGAATGAAAGGAGCCCATCACAAGGAGAAATGTTGAATGGTTCCATTCATAGGACATTCCCATTTCTATGAGGTGTCTAGAGCCATTATTATCATACAGAGACGAGAGTGGAGGTCCTTATGCTGAGACTAGGATGCAGAATGGCTTAGTGATTCATGGGCACAGTTTTGTTTGGGAAGATACAAAATGCTCTGGCAGGGGCCGGGGAGATTGCTCAGTGGAATGAGCACTTCTCTGGCAAGTGCGAGGGCCTGAGTTCAATCCCTGGTTCTGCAAAAAAAAAAAAAAAAAAAATGCTCTGGAGAGGCCGGGTATGATGGCTCAGACCTTTGATACCAGCACTTGGGAGGCTGAGGCAGGAGGATCTTTGTAAGTTTGAGACTAGCATGTGCTACAAAGAGAGCTCAAAACTAGCCTGAGCTGCACAGCCAGAGACTGTGTCAACCACACACAGAAAATTCTGGAGTAAGGTGGTAGTGGCCATTGCAGAGTAGTGTAAACATACTTAGCACCAATGAACTGTACACCACAAAAAAGTTAAAGTGGTACATTTCAAATGTATTTTACTACAATTAAAGGAAAAGAAAGGAAATGTGATTTGAGCTGCTCAGAACCGGAGAAAGTCAGGAATCCCTAGACGCTGATGCATGAGGCTGGTTCTTCTGAGAAAAGCTGCCATTTGTCTGCTGCTGCCAGCGAGCAGAGCACAGCGGTCAGGGGCTGACCCTGGACTCAGGTTCACGTGTGCTGCTCACTTGGTCTCTGATCTTGGTACTATCCTTGGCTTCTCTGCCTCAGCTTCCTCATCTATGAAATTGGCATATGTTATTACTTCAATGGGCTGATGTCAAAGTCCAAGTGACTAAATATGGGAAAAGGCTTCGAACAGCATTTGGCTCCAAGTAAGTGCTCTAAGTGGCAGCTGTTACTGTTTCTTGAAGAACAAATAGTAAAAGTACTTTGGCAGCCAGATGCCACCCTGAGGCTTATCTGGAAGAACACTGGTCCCCTTCCTGTCCTTGTCCTTCCCAGCATT